GTATAATAATTTCATAAACCTTAATATTAAAAATGTCATTTAAAAAAATTGAGTGCTTTCCTTTAAAGAGAAAGCCAAAGAGGCTTTTTCCCTTTTAAGAAAAGCCACAGAAGTAATTTTTCAAAAAAACAACTCCAGCAACGATTTCCTTCAAGGAAACGCCTCTGGAAACGATTTCCATTAAAGGAAAAGCCACATAAGCAATACCCTTTTAAGGGAAAAGCCTCAGAAGCAATTCCTTGAAAAGTACCACCTTCGGAAACGATTCCCTTCAAAGGAAAAGCCACAGAAGCAATACCTTCAAGGAAACATCCCCAGAAATGATTTTCTTCAAGGAAACGCCTCTGGGAACGATGCCCTTCAAGGAAATGCCTCTGGGAATAATTACCTTCAAGGAAACGTCTCTGGAAATGTTTCATTTCAATGGAAAAGCTACAGAGGTTATTCCTTAAAAAAACGCTCCAGAAGCGTTATTATTTAAAAGAAACACTCTAGAAGTATTTTATTAAATGTAACGCTTCGGAAGCGTTATTTTTTTAGATTTAACGCTCCAGAAGCGTTTTTATTTAAAAGAAACACTCCAGAAGCATTATAATTTAAAAATAACGCTCTGAAAGCGTTTTTATTAAATGTAACGCTCCAGAAGCGTTATTTTTTTTACATTTAACACTCTGGAAGCGTTATTAAATAAAAATAATGCTCCTGAAGCGTTATAAATTAAAAATAATGCTCCCAAAGTGTTATTCTTCGAAGAAAACGTTACCAAATCATTTTTTTTCGAAGAAATCATTGCCAGAATCATTTAACTTCGAAGAATCATTTTCGGAATTATTAACTTCAAAGAAATCGTTGCCGAAAGCATTTTTCTTCGAAGTTAATACTTCTGGATTGTTTTTTTCAAAAATAAAAAATCCAAGTCGACGAGTCGAGCTGTGCCACGAGCTGAACCAACTTAATCGGCTCGTGAGCCATTTTATAGCAGCTCGAGCCAAGCTTTCACGAGCTTGCTCAGCTTATACAGAGCTTTAGGTAAGAGTATATCCTAGCAAGGTATATGATGTAATGGATCCCTCAGAAAATTCCTATAGTGATATGTAGTCCCAGATAGCTAGTAATCGGCAGGGGAGTCAAATCTTCCTAATGGGCTCAAGCCAGCAACAGCACCACTATGGGCGACGGCAATATTTGGGCCAGTTACAATGGTGTAGGTTGCCAATGGCAGAAATGACTAGCGAAGACCTATGGATGAGGCCGGCTATAAGACGATACTTGAGACCATTAAGCCTTAATGTCTCATTTGAACACTACGTACTGAAAAAAAAAATAAACAAAAAAAGGCTTTTTCACAAAAATAACTAGAAATACCCGAAAAAACAGTCAGCATAATAACATCCAACAAAGAGAGTGTTCTGCATCACCTCTTCAAAATAACAACTATAAAAAATGAAACACAACTCAAACACTTGAAGTGTTACCAGAACAAAGTACTTTGCAAACGATTACTCCTATAATTATGGAAGTTGACCCAACATCGCAAACAAAAGGCAAAGAACCTGAAGCCTTTGACCTTACAAATGGGAATTATATCAATACCACCCTTAACGTTGACAAAGGTTTGACACGTCAGAAAACTTCCTTGATCCAAATACGCACTCGGTCCAGGCGTTTGATAGACCTAAACCTTCGTTCTATGGTTTTTTCCCACTTGATGATTTTCCTGGAACTTCACTGCAACATAAAGTTTCCGGAGTCATAGAACTCTTTTTCGATAAATATGACTTATTCGCTGGGACAGTTTCGACAAAAAACCTCTTAAATCATGCACAAAGAATCATTAAGATCTCATTTCGCAACCAAGAACATCGCGATCATGCATGTTCAGAACCATTACCCAATTTAGAAGCACGCATGTTCTTACCCCTAGATGTTACACCATCTTATCCGTATATTTCTGCAATATCGATCAAAGTCACAGAAATTCCCCTGGATGCTACATCACACCAAATCAAAACCACATTTAGACATTACGGTACGATCGTCCAGTTCAACATGAAAACCAAGAACATGTAGCAATAAGCCACCATCACTTATGCATCGAATACGAACTTTGTCAAACTAAAAAAATGTAATGGTGTTTTTGTACTCAATGACATAGTCTGGGTACACATGCGCAACCTCTTGGTAAAGAAATCTGAGAAAAATCAAAGTTTTCAGCCAAACTTGCGGGCTTGCCAAGAAATACTATGGGCAAACAACTAATTGATATTGCAAAAATGATGCATACTACTTCATGGGTTATCCTTAAAGTAAGGTCTAATTATCATAATCTTCAACACGCGTTCTTTTATTTCGCATCAGATGATAACGTTGAAGTTGCAATTAGTAATGAAAACCTCACCATAGACGGCAAACACGTGATTTGGACCACTTCTAACACTAAACTCTGTGCAATCTGCTCATCACCTCATCACAAAGCTAGTGACTGCCCTAAACGGAGAAAACGACCATCTGATCGTAATATGCAAAATTTGTATCAAAGGTTCCAACCAGCACAGTTTTCAAACTACAAAGCTCTACCTAAAAAGTTGGCAGGCGCAGTAAATCCTAACATCACTTTTGCTCACATGACCAAAGGACCTTAAAGTGATGACCTGAGAAATACTAGCAATAACCATTCACTACTGCTCAAATCACATTCAAATACCAATAATACAAACCACAGACGACAGGAAAAAAAACGTTGCTAAGCCAAAGGTGTCCTGGTCAGATGATGTTTCAAATAACTTTGACTACGATTATCAAGTAGATCAAATGAGCTGCACTATACCTAAATTGAATCTAAACAATGGAACCAGAGCGGGTGGCTCCATGCATAACAATTCAGCTAATTTTGAGAAATTTGTTAAACAACAATTTTCTAACTTAACTGCACAAATGTGTACTCTCGTAAACTCCCTGGCTTTCACAGTTAAGAGAGTTGAATCTATGGAGCAATCCCTTAATATTAAAGTAGTAATCCCAGTTGAAGCTGAGATGTACAACTTAAATGCGGATGAAATGACTGATGATTTGATACCTCATATCGACACATCTGCTTCCACCATCGTACGTCAAAGAAAAATCATTGATGGCTTACGTAGCATCAATGAAATGCAACAAAAAAGATTAAAATCCTTCACCTTCACAGTTAATACCTTGGTTCAGTCTTGTTCAGCTTTTCAATCGATTTTACTTAAGAACCAATTGCTTCCAACTGATTAAGCTGCTACGTTTTTCCCACTTGGTGATCGCTTCGATAATGATATTAACAACTATCTCAAAGGACTCCCCCAATTTTAAACAAATTTTTATGAGTACTGTCACTACAGATTCTATTGCTCAAGCTGCACAGTCAAATACTAATGATACCATTTCTACTCCTATTTCCCATTTATCATTTTCTACCCATAATATCCGTTCATTTACTAACACCGCCAAACAAAATTTTCTCATTAATCTTTATTTCTCATTAGACTTATATATAGTAGGACTGCAAGAAATAAACTTTACCCAATCTCATATCCAACCATTTAACCTCACTTTTCATTCCCAATTCCAAGGTTTCTTCAGCATTCCATCTCAATTGAATGCACAGAAATCTGGATTTGGTGTTGGCATCCTTTTCAAACCTGTTCTTGCTGATCATGTCTTTCATCATGAAGTCAAACACAATCATTTAATTATTGTAGACCTTTAATTCGCAAACAAACAAAAACTTAGAATCATTAATTGTTATTTACCACCTGGAAATTTAGCTCTTAGGAAGTTCATTCAACTAGACCTTATGAAATATATTAGAGAAGTGACTTATAACAACTACCATATCATTCTCCTTGGTGACTTTAATGCTGACATGGATAACCCGAAGCTCTACTCATAAAACAAAAATCTTTTCTCCTTGCTGAGTAATGCTCACCTTTTCAATACCTTTACAATTAAATATGACCAGCTTCGAATTGCACACCCTACACATTGTTCTACAAAATCAAATTCTTGAATCGACTTCATTTGGTCATCTGGTGACGTGATTTCTAACTTCAATTGTTGTGATATTGAAGATGTTCTGCCCTCAGTATCAGACCATTCCATAATTATTCTTCAAATTGAAAACTTCCTCGCTGCTAAAAACAATAAAAGGAACATTCCCTCAAAAATTGTCTTTGACTATGATAAAATGACAGACGAAAAGTGGCTCAATTTCGATAACAAAACAGATATGCTAGCCAAAGGATGTCAACTTCGTGCTCTCAACAACAACACTGTATTCAACCAACAGATATTAAATCGATACTAAGATCTACTTCAAGAATGTATTGTAAAAGCTGCGGATACTGTTATTCTCTCTCACAAATCAAAAGGACAGCATTCGATAAAAAGACCTCTACTACTATCAAAATTATATAGGCAGCTTAAACTTTTATATAAATTAAAGAGGATGTCAAAGAAAATTAAATGCACCTTTATAGTTCCTTCCAACTAGTCAACAGTAATCAATAACTTTTATAATATCATGAAAGAATACAATATTATACATGTCTCTATATAACCTCATCCGTCATCCTTTATCATTGATTCACTTTCTCCTTTCATTGAGTAGCTGCTTGGCTGTGTATTCATTAAAGCTAAAATCTATAAACATGATTTCAAGCTCAAATCAATTCAATAGGCCATTGAAAGAAGATTGGATAACTATCAATCATCCTCCGCAAAAATGACTGACTCATTATTAAGATGTTCCAAAAGAACCATTATCATCGACCGGTGTATCAACAATGCATCCTCATCACGTGACCTTTTAACAGACAAAGACGCAATCAAATACGAAGTTGCCAAACATTTTCAGATGGCTGCTGGTACCGCTCACGAATACGTTCCCATTGATGATGACTGGTTACCTTTTTATCAACCACTACCTGATATCGACAACATGATCTATAATGACCTTATGAGCTCACCTTCAGTGGATGAGTGGTATGATCTCATTGCATATCTCCCTAATGGAAAAGCACCTGGACCATCTAAAGTTTCCAATGATATGCTTAAACATCTCAGTCCATTGACGAAAAAACTTCTATAGTTTATAATTTGTGGTTGTCTTTCGACCTCGTCACTACTACATCGTTGGAATCATGCGTTTGTTTTTCCAATTCTAAAACCAAAACCTTGGGAATATGACTTGAATAATACTCGTCCTATCACTCTGCTTGAGTGTCCTCAGAAAGCTCTCATCAAACTCTTAAATCGCCGACTGTCCAAGATCATGGTCAAACACAATATTTTAAAAGATCTTAACTTCGCTGGATTGCCATTCAAATTAACGTTCGAACCGCTGCATATTATCAATAACATTAAATACGATGCTAACCATAATAAGAAAGACCTTTGGATTATGCTTCAAGATATATCTAAAGCATATGACTGCATCAATATCTTTATGCTGATTAGAGCGCTGGAAAGACTTCACATTCCATTCAATTTCCTTCAGTTTATCCTGAAAATGTTTGGTAATCGCTACAATCAAATATTTACATTATTTGGTAATACTGACTCTTATAGAGTGGTATCAGGCATCAACCAAAGTGAAATCATCTTCCCATTATTGTGATGCATCTACTACGACCCTTTATTATGTTGTATTCAAAACTCATCACATGGATACTCCTTATCGCATTCATGGAAGCCGAACATACTTATTAATGAAATAAAGATGACATCGTTAAAAGTGTCTGCATTCGCATATGGATGACATGCTTTGGATTACAAACTCCCAAAGTGATTTCAATAATATCGTCAATATCGCCAAAAGTTTTTATAAGCTCAACCATATTAAAGTTAACTAGGACAAATCGGTTCTCATGATTAACAAACCTCAAGTCTAACAGCCATTCATATGTAATATCAACAGATGTCTCACAAGGATTAATCCTTTACCTATCAATGATTCCACCCATTATTTAGGGGTGTAGATCTCCTTGAGTTGTAATAAAACTTTTACCATTAAATTGTTAAGAGCAGAAATCAAAACCGCTATTACCATTATGTTTAATAAAAAGATGACTGATAAGCAGATGGTGTACATTTTCAATACTGTTCTTATGCCAAGAATTGAATATCGTGTCTAGATCTCTGCTCTCACAGAAACTCAATGCAATTTTATTGGTTCTCCATACCGTGCATTCATGAAAAGAAATTGCACTTATCGCGTGATACACCTTCCTCAGTGTTTCACTCAAATCTCTTTTATAATCTTATTAATCTTCACCACTGACTCTTCGCTGCACAAAATAAAGCCTTACTATTTTCACTCAATGATCGAAACATTTTAGGGGATTCCACTAGAATTCGTATGAGATAACTGTAACAAAAAGAATGGCTACACATCTCTCCACTTCATAATTGGCCTTATATAACTTATCCTAAATCAAATGACTGGATTACAAATATTTTATGCGAATGAAAATTTATTGGTTTCTCTACACAAACTGAATCATCTGAATTGTATCTAGTCAAATGAGAAGTGATACCAATTAATACGTTGATTCCATCTTGATATAAGGTCATCGCTAATGATCTCAGAAACAACTCTGTACTTTTTGTCGAACAACTGGTTACTTCTAATGGAGACTCCATGCTAACATATTACATCCTCAATATTTAACCTGGGTTTCCGTCCACACGTCGTATTTCTAGATGGTTCAATATTCTTCAAGAAAGCATGCTCGTTGACCCTGGTAACAGAGCAACAATACGCAATTACCTGCACTAAAATAATTTTGCATTTGACTTCTCATCACTGACAAAACGTGCTGATATAATATCCTTCGTATTAGGATGGAATTTTGGACACAACAAATCTTTCGTTAGAAGATTACTACTTGCTAACTGTTCTCAATGCGTTCTACACGATCCGCAGACTTACATTTCATACCAAATTATTGACAAAGATCACAAATGCTTCTTCATTGTTCTTATTAACCTTTGCTTTCATATTCCAACACATCACAATACTACTGAATCCTCATATGAATGCTCGTGGTCAATCAATTTACTTAACGAACTCACTTCTGCTTTTATTAAACTCTGTACAATTCCGCATTCTAATTTACCTGCACGATCTTTCATCCCACCTGTTCCTCCTTCCTTTATAGAAAATTTATTCCTTCTTCACATTTACAACCTTTATTAAATTTTCGCTCTCAATTCAGTTCTTGCCCTTTCTTAGAATTCTATACTGATGGATCCTTGATTAATCTTAGCTCACCTTCTATTAGAATGGGTATTGCTTGGCTCCAAATTGCATCAGTCGCTTCACAAATTTCATATTCTACTGCTTTCACTGCTTACTTCCCATTATCCTCAACTGCTGAATTAGCTGCTATCTTTACAGCCATTCTAGTTTCTTCGCGCAGATGCCACCTCAATATCTTCATTGATTCTTATACTGTTATTTCGCAATTCAACAAGTATAAACTCCTGTCAAACATATCTCTGTCAGTAAGACCTCTTCTCAAAATTGTCAATATTCACATTTGACAATGTTTGTTTCAAATCGTCAATGAGTCATCACTTAAGGTCAAACTGAATAAAGTTAAGGCACACTCAGAAGATTCCTCTAATAATGCCGTAGATTTACTTGCAAAAAATTCGCTGAATACCTCCGCTCTAAACCTCATTATCAATGATCATTAGCATTCTACTTTATATTATAATAAAATAGTGATTGCGTTGCCTATCAGACAATTTATCAAAGAAATTACACGCGCAGAGGACTTCTCAGCTTTTTTGAACCTCAATATTATTCAAAAATATCTCAACTTAGATATCGATTGGAGGATCACCATATTTTGTATTAAAGACAATATTGCCTCTAATTCTACTAACTATGAAGCCTCAGCTTTAACAAAAAAGAAACTCCAAAGATTACTTGAAATGTTCCCTACAATGGAAACTCTCAAAATACGACATTCTCTAATATTTGATAATACACAAAATTGTGTTCGATGTATCACTTATGAAGAAAATTTTGCTCACATTTGGACTTGCCCTTTAGTTCTACATAAAACCCAATTGATCATAAAGAATGCCAAGGCTTTACTTAGCACTATCATTCAATCTGATCCTCTGAACAAGCAAATCAACCAACTCAACATTTGGTCACTATCTCTAATGTCTTCTTTTATATTCATTGACTTGATCAAAGGTTTCATCTATACATGAAGTCAAAATAGATCATTTCAGATATCCGAAATGGTCGAAATGGTCGAAATCATTTTTTTTTTTTTGTTTTTTTTGATACTTTTACTAGGCACGCACAAGTGGTATTATATTTGGATGCATACCCTTCAACAGAAATAGATACG